AACAGGGCATTCCATCCCCATGTGTTTGCAAATTTTTCATGAGTTTCTTAAGTTGCTGATTTCCATTTTCATACCATTATGGTAAAAAAAAAAAAATATGTGGGGCCCGGCACAAGAGCATAGTGGTTAATGTCCTTGCCTAGCACCTACTGGGATCCCAAATGGGTGCCAATTCTAATCCCAGCAATCCTGCTTCCCATCCAGCTCCCTGCCTGTGGCCTGGAAATGCAGCTGAGGATAGCCCAGGGTCTTGGGACCCTGCACCCGCATGAGAGACCCTGAAAAGTTCTGGGCTCCTGGCTTCAGATTGGCTCAGTTCCAGCCATTGCGGCCACATGAGGAGTGAACCATCAGATGAGGATCTTCCTCTCTGTCTCTCCTCCTCTCTGTACATCCGCCTTTCTAATAAATAAATAAATAATTAAATCTTAAAAAAAAAAAAGTGGTGGCGCCAGCACAATGGCTCCATTGTTTAATCCTCCTCTTGCAAGCTCCAGCATCTCATATGCCAGGATCCCAAATGGACACCAGTTCATGCAATAGCTGTTCTACTTCCCATCCAGCTTCCTGCTTGTGGCCTGGGAAAGCAGTCAAGGATGGCCTAAAGCCTTAGGACCCTGCACCCGTATGGGAGACCCAGAACAAAGAAGCTCCTGGGTTCTGGCTTCCAATCAGTTCATGTCCAGATGTTGGAGTCGTTTGGGGAATGAAGTAGCATACAGGTTATCTTTCTGTAACTCCTTCTCACCATAAATCTAACTTTCCGATAAAAATGAATCTTTCAAAAATACATGGTATAATTTCAACTTATTTGAAGGTTTATCTGAGGCTTGCTCTGTGCCCTAACATATGGCCTATCCTAGATTCGGTTCCACGCACTGATGAAAAGAATGTGTACTCTGCAACTGTGGGATGAAATTATCTGTAGACATCAGTTAGGGCCAAGTACAGATTAGCTCTGTTTTTTTGTTAATTTTCTCTCTAATTTCTATGTGTCCACTAATGAAAGTAGAGTGTTGAAGTTCCCTGTTATCATTGTTTTAGAGTTGATGTCTCCCTTTTCATCAAATAACAATGGTTTTAAATAGTCCGTTTTTTTTTATTTGCTATATTCACATCTTTTTGTTGAACTGATATCTTAAGCATTATGTAAAGCCCTTCATTAACAGTTGTTACTAACATGTATTTCTTGTAGACACACACACAAAAAAGTGGTCTTGTTTTTAATCCATTCATCCAGTCTGTATCTTTTGATTTGAGTTTAGGCCATTTACAATCAGGCTTATTATTGAAAGGTAACAACTTGATTCCATAATTTTCCTATTCCTACTGTTTACTTTGGATTTGCTTTGTATTTTCACTAGGATGTTTTCTCCAATCAAGATCTGTCATTATGCTAATTATCATTTTCCATTTCTGAGTATAGCACATTCTTAGGCATCATTTGTAACACTGAATGGGTGATTAAAAATTCTTTCAATTTCTGTTTGTTCTACAAGATCTTTATTTCAGCTTCATTTATAAATGAATCTTTTCCTGGATGCAATATACTAGATTAGAAGTTTCTTTTTGAGGACTTGGACTAGTTTCTCCATTCTCTCCAACCTATACTGTTTCAGCTGTTAGTCTAATTGGGGATCCTCTGGAAATAATCTGGCATATCTTTCATGTAGATTTGAGATTTAAAAAAAAAAAGGTTTATTTTTATTGAAAAGGCAGATGTACAGAGAGAAAGAGAGACAGATCTTCCATCTGCTGGTCCACTCCTCAAGTAGCCGCAACAGCCAGAGGTGAGCCATTCTGAAGCCAGAAACCAAGAGCTTCCTCTGGGTCTCCCACACAAGTGCAAGGTCCCAAGGCTGTGGACCATCCTCTACTGCTTTCCCAGGCCACAAGCAGGGGGCTGAATGGAAAGTGGAGCAGCTAGAATATGAACCAGCACCCATATGGCATCCTTGCACCTGCAAGGCAAGGATTTAGATACAAAGCCAATACGCTGGACCTAAATTGAGGATTTTTGTGTTTTATTGTTGAAAATTTGAGTAGAATGTGTCATGGTGAAGATCACATTTGATCATGCCTTTATGAGAGCTTAGTGCATCCTGTACTTGGATAGAACTCTTTTTCTCCACATTATAGAAGTTTTCTGATATTATTTCTCTGAATAGTCCTCTTAATCCACTCTCTTGGTTGTTTGAGAGTGTTCCATAAGTCTTGATGTTGTTTTTAATTTTCTAACTTTTTCTTCATGCTTTTTGTCAGACTAAGATATCTCCAAGGACTTTTCTATCTCATATATTCTTTGTTCTTCCTCGCCAAGCCCATTTTCAGGATTTCTGCAGTATTTTTTTCTCTTTAAATACATATTTTAATACACCCAAGGCAATAAAATCCCAAAGCCCACAGTATTTTCTATTTGGCATATTGAATTCTTTAATGTGAAAGTTTTAATTTCATTTCTGTTCAATGTATTAGTCACTTTGCAAAATTGTTCATATTATGTATGGATTTCTCTATTTCAATAATTTGTGTGCTTTTGAGTGATCATTTTTTCCATTAATTTTCAGGCATTTCACCTATTCTTTACACTACATATTAAAGAATTTCTGTGTTCCTTTGGCGGACCCATATGTCTACCTTGTTTTTTTGTCCCTTATATTTCTTTTTTTATATATATATTAAAAACTTTTTTCATATACTGTACATATTTGAACTTTAACAAGTTATTGGGTGGTCATGTTTTCCTCTGTCTGTTTAGACTGATCTTCAGTTACCAATTTCTGAGATCTTTCCAATAACTTATCCCATATTGTAAATTGTGCTGTTAAGTGAATGGCAAAGAGAGACCCGGGAATCTTCACACGTGATTCGGCTGGTCGGGCTGCAGACTGTGAACTGCTGACACTTCGTACTGGGAACACACACTTGTCCTTGGAATGAGAGGACCCTCACTCACATTAATGAAGTCATCTATCCTGTGTAGCTTGACTTTCCTCTCAGTGCTCTGAGATGACTTCTCTTCAATGAAATTGATCTTGTACTTGTTATGTTGAAATATTTCCAATGCAACTTCTGCTTCAACTTCTAGAGTTTCAAAAGGAAGATCTTTATAAATTAAAGCATGAACATCTTTTGTAAAGGAATGTAGGTTCTCCATCACTTAGTTTTAGGGATCTGGAAGTACTTGTTGTTTTTCTCCTCTGATGAATTTTATTTCTAACCTATCTGTGACTTGGTAGAATGACTGTTCCTTCAGTGGATATTTAGAGGTTTTCTGGATGTAACCAGCATACTGTCGTCAGTACTCTAGGGTGACTGAGTCCAGGGTGACACTCTGGCTGGACGTGGTAGATCTCCACTTTTTTTGGCATGAGGGAGGCAATGATTATGACTGTTTCTGTAATCACAGCGTCCCCTCATTTGGAAGTAATCAATGTTCTGGGTTTGCCCAGCATAACTACTACCCACTCTAGCATATGTGGCACACAGAACATCTATGTAGTTCTTTGAGTGCACAGTCATGTAATAATCCATACTGGGCAAATAGGGATCTCAGCCTTTACTGTCAGACACTTTGAATGGCAAGTCCCAGCTGCACACCACCCACTATTGTGTAATCATAGAATTTCCACAGTCTTTGTATATCCCCTGTGTCACTCTGTGTCTGGACAATGTGGATTTATCCCCTCAAAAAACACCTAATTATGTACACCCATACAGAGACAGGTCACTACTGCCATGGCAGCCCTGTAACCTTTACTGATCTTACTATGGCAGTCTCTGCAGCCAATCTAAGCCCTCTTCACAATGAAGTTTCTCCCTCTGTCTGGGTACTTTGTGAGGTAATAGGAGGAAAGAAGCCTACTCCTCTCTCATGAATATCTGCTAGAACCCTCCCTCCCCCCACTCCCAGCTGAGTCCATCCAAAGCTGCAGTCAGTGGTCCCCAAGATTCTACGCAGGCAGTGTAGCCAGTGAGTGACTGCAACAGTTTTCTCCCTCTTGTCTCTCCAGATCTGTCATCTTCTCTAGTCCCTGGAAATGGTGACCCTGTTCACTGCTGCTGTCCACGCAGGACACACTTCTCCAAGGTGTCTCTTCATCTTCTGTATTGTTCCTACTGGAAACTTTGCTCAGCCCTGCCTAGCCCGGTCCACCCCGAGTTCTAGCTCTCACGCTCACCAGTGGGAGCAGTGGCATAGCAGGGAGTTCCTAAAGTACCCCTACCAGGCTCACCCCCAGCTCCAGGTCTTATGCAAGCTGTTGAGTACTGCAGCCCAGTGTGACATGGCCCACCTCACCACAACAATCGCTGTTGGATGTTGCACCTGTCTCTGTCTGACCTGTCCCCAATCCCAGCTTATGTTGGCAGGAAGGCAGGATTATCTCTTTTGATCGAACTCATCCCATTGTCACTCAACATCTTCCCCAGGCATAAACTGACTCCTTCTTTCTTATCTATGAGATCTCTCCAGCTGGAAAATCACCTTTGGAATAACATGCATTTTCATTCTTATGCTGATACGTTCTTTTTACTGAAATATGACATTCAGCCACATTTGATTCTACTCTGGTGGATTTGCCAATCTTTTCTCAACCCCCAAAGCTGGACCGGTGTGTTCAGCAATATCAGGAAAAATTTAACTAGTATGCTTCTGCTAAATCTCTTTTCTCTAGGCTTGAGGTTGGGAGGCAGAAACTCCAAAGTCTTTCCCTTGTAGTTGTCTGAGAGTAGCAAGAGGGACTGTAAAGAAGTGATTCTCGTGGAATTCTCTTTTTCACCCACTGAAACATTCTAAACCTTTCATATCCAGTCTGGTAACCATATGACTGACTAATATTAACTCCTTCCATTGACAGTTTAGAGCTGGTTAATCAGAATCAAGCTTTAATATCTTGTGAACTCAACCAAAATTGCCAAATTGAAATGAGGATCATGTGTGTATCTCCAACTCTGCTCACATAAGCACTCAAATTATGCTTATTTTTCTGAATTTACAGCTGCAAGTGTACTGCTGGATGGAAAGGAACATTTTGCATGGATGCAGTTTCCACCTGTGATCCTGAACATGACCCCCCTCACCACTGTAGCAAAGGAGCAACATGTGTTTCCTTACCTCATGGATACACCTGTTACTGTCCTCTGGGAACCACTGGAATCTACTGTGAACAAGGTAAGGCAGAAACTCATTTTACATTCATGAATTTAGAGTCTCTTCTTGGGAAGTAAAATAGAAAAAAAAATATATATATATATAATGAAAGTAAAGTCCACTTTCTTTTCTACTCTGTGCATTTGACATTATATTTCACACACAGGATAGTACTCAAAAATCAGTAGAATAAAAAGATAGCATTATTTTTAGCATTGGTTTAATGTATTTACTCTATAATCTCCCTATTTGGTTTAGCTGGTCTAGGAGTTCTATGGTAAATACAGACACAGAACATGAGCTTACATTCATGACTCGATTTCATCTCTGAGTTTCTCCCTTACATACTTCCTACCTGACCTAAAACTTTTTGGACTATCCCAAAGAGGATATATTAGCTTGAGCTGTGAATAAATTCTGAGGAGTCAAGAGATCAAGTCAAGTGGAAATAATAAGGGATAAATATTGTTCTAACCTCTAGAATAAATGAATTTAATACCCCTGTCCTCAACAATCTACCACGTGTCCCCCACGTATGTTGTGATCACTAGATCATAGCTGTGCCCTCTTCAGTCCCACGTGTGGGCCTCCCAGAACAGCAGGAAGGGAATCCAAGAAACTCCTGCTTAAGAAAAACTAGAGGAAGTAAATCACTCCTGGCTTCCTGAGGCTAAATGTGATACATTTTCAGGAATTAACTGAATTAGGGAATACTTAGAAATCTGAAAAGGTATCAACTCACATGTTCATGAGCATGTTTTCTAATAGGATTAGCATGTGAGTCAGAATAGCCCCAGCGTAGAAAAGCATCATCAATTGGCTGAGGGTACTGGAGAACCTACAGAAGGTGAAATGGCCTCTGGCTCCGAGATCTGGTAGATGCTCACCTCCTGCAGTGGATGTCAGTTGCTCTTCTCTGGGAAGCTTAAAGAATAAGCTCTGACACTCAGATCTCTGACCTCAGACTGAGAGAAACACCTTCAGCTTCCTAGTCTTGGCACTCTCCACCCAAGACAAAAATTTAGTTCCTTTTTCTTTTTATGAATGCATACTGGGATAGGAGGACAGGAGCCAACTACCAACTGTCCTATATCCACCTTTGCCTTATTTCGGGAATTTACTTTAGCATCCCAATATGCGTGATGATAATGAATTTAATTTCAATAAAATATAACCCAATCTAAAGTAGTTACTGAAATATTATAGCAGAATCAAGTTTCACAAACATTTTAGAAGTAGCTAGTATATTTGGTTTCTTTTCGATATAATCAGACCTTGTTTACTTGATTTTTTCTTCTGTTATAGCTGTCTTCACTGATAATCTGATTTACAACTGTACAATTATTCCTATCTCAGAGTTTCCTCCCAATTTATTTTGCCAAATATTTGGGTGAATGGCTTTTTTTCTTAGAATATTTTTATTAATACTGCTAAATTTTATCTGCTGCCCATTGCTGACATAAACCCAACTTACATGCCCTTATGTGTTTTTTTAGCTTTTAGTCTAGCAGGAAATATTGGTAATTCATCAGTTTTTCCATTCGAAAAGTAATATTCCTTCATTTTTTCCTCAATATCTAAAACAAAAAATCTGCATACATTTTGGCATTTTGAATGCAATAGGCAAACTTCCAAGCCACTTAAATATCTTTGTGATGCCATACATACTTTATGATCCAACAAGTCACCGATCACTTGGGGAGTAAATCATTGGATGGGGGATATTTCTGTCTCTCCTCCTCTTTAAAAAAATAAAAAAATAAAAAATAAAACAAAATAAATCATAGGTGAGTCCAGCATGAGAGCCTAGTTGTTAAATCCCCACCCTGCATGTGCCAGGATTGCATATGGGTGCCAGTTCACTTCCAGACTGCTCCACTTCCCATCCAATTTCCTGTTTGTGGCCTGGGAAAGCAGTAGAGGATTACCCAAAGCCTTGGGACCCTGCATCCATGTGGGAAACCTACAAGAAGCTCCTGGCTCCTGGTTTTGGATTGGCTAAGCTCAAGCAGTTGTTGGCACTTGGGGACTGAACCAGTGAATAGAAGATCTTTGTCTGTATCTCTTCTTCTCTCTGTAACTCTGCCTTTCCAATAAAAATAAATAACTTTTAAAATTAACTATAAGTAATGGATAAATTCAATTCCAATGGTTTTTGGCCAAGTCTTTGATTTTCCTAATAGCAGCTAACCCACATGACAGTAAATGGCCATTTCTTGGCTAATTACCATGTTTATCTGTTTTTCAATATTAATTTTCAGGTGTCTTTGACTACTTGGGCATTCACAGCAAGTTCTTTTTCTGCTTCTTAATAGAACTGCAAGACCTTTAGTTTATTATATTTCTGCCTTATAATCCTACATTCACATGCAGGATGGTGGGATTCCAAGTGATTTCTTAAGCGCTGTGTCAAATGCCTACCTGAGCGCAACTTCAAAATGATCAAATAAAATATTTTGTTTTACATTTGTTTTTAAAAGAATTTATTTTTATTGGAATGGTAGAATTACAGAGAGAAGGCTATACAGAGAAGATCTTCCATTCCCTGGTTCACTACCTAACAGGAATAAACAGTGACCACTGAGCAGCTACTGCCTTCCCAGGCCATTGGCAGGGAGCTGCGATCGAAGTGGGGCTGGTGGAACATGAGCCAGCACCTATATGGGAGTTATGGGTCTTGTCAGCAGAGGATTAGCCAATTGAGCCATCATACCGGCTATGACCAAATATTTTAATAAATATATTTTTAAAAGTTCAACAGTCTATTCAATTTTAAAATGTAATTCTGTAGAAATACTCTGGCAGTTCGAAGAATTCCAAAACATGATAAGAGTGATTTTTCCTTCAAAGAGCTAACAATTTAGTTCAAGATCAGGTGAGACTATGAAGATTAAAGTGTATCATTTGGATAACAGTTCCAGAAAAAGGGTAAGAAATACCGCTCACAAAACTGAATGGTTCAATTGCTAGATAAACGATGCAGTAAACATCTGGCTAGAAGTACCTGACTAAATATTAAGAAATGATGGAATTAGGTACAAAAAAGCTTACCAAAAACAAAAGCGAGGATTATGTTAGAAATGTGTTTTTAAGCAGCTGCCCAGAAAAGGCTTGAGAAGTCTTCTAGCTCAGATTTTTACAGAAAGTATTTCCTTGCATAAAGCCTGTAGGGAAAGACTATGAGGGGAGTCTTTTCTGAGAAGACAGATCTGTGAGCTTCATGATAAGAAATGTAAAATATCTAACACAAGGATATCAATCAGTTATACAGAACACAGAAAGCTAATCTAATTAAGAAAATCATGCATTGAACAAAGTAAACAGGTTAACAAAGTAAAGCAGAAAAAAAGAGCCAAACTGATATTCTAGAGCTGAAAAAAAATGTTAAATGAATGTAAAAATTCTACAGTATACTTAATCTGGCAGAAGAATCAAAAAGCTTGAATGGTCATTTGAAATTACTGTGTCTGAGATGGAAAAAAATAAGAAAATCAAAGGAACTGAAGGGACTCAGGGGCATTATCAGACAGACTCAATTTAAAAATCCATTACGGAAGTCCTAGAGAAAGAAGATGGAAAGGGACTGTTTTGGTGGTGTGACAGGCTACTTCTCCGCCTACAGTGTCATTATTCCATGTAGGTGCTATTTTGTGTGTTGGCTTGCAACATTTCTGATGCAGCTCCCTGCTTATTGTCTGGGAAGGCGGTGGATGATGGCTCAAGTCTTTGAGCCTACACACCCACATAGAAGACCTGGAGAAAGCTCACGGCTCCTGGCTGCGGATAGGTGCTGTTCTGACCATACTGGCCATATGGGTATGAACCAGTGCAGAGAAGACCCCATGCTCTCTGTCTATCCTTCTCTCTGTAAAATCTGCCTCTTAAATAAAAGTAATAATAATAAATTGTAAAGAAATGCTCAAAAATTCCCAAATCTTAGGAAAGAAACTGATATACAGACTTCAGAAACCCAAAGATTTCAGCTAAGATAAATCCAAAGAAAACCACACTAACACATATTACAAACTGTCTAAAAATCAAGCCAGCAGGCATAAAGTGATTTAGTACACACAAAGAACAAACTAAATCCCAAACTAGCAAAAGTAAGAAACTATTAAAGTTTAGAATAAACAAAATAGAGTAGAAAATAATAGGGGGCTCGGCGTGACAACTCATTGGCTAAATCCCTTATGGGCACTGATTTATGTCCCAACTGCTCCACTTTCCTGCAAGCTCCCTGCTTGTGGCCCGAGAAATTAGTAGAGGACAGTCCACAGTCTTGGGACCCTGCACCTGCATGGAGACCTGGAAGAAGCTTCTTGCTCCTGGCTTCAGATCAGCTCAGGTCCAGCTGCTGCTGCCACTTAGAGAGTGAACCCACAGATGGAAGATCTTTAAGATCTTTGCAGCTGTCTCTCCTCTCTGTATATCAAAATAATTTTTTAGAAAATAAAGACAGGAAAGGTAAAACTTTTAAAATATAAATATTAATAAATCCTTAATTTTATTAATGAAGAAAATAAAAGACTCAAATAACTACAATCATAAAACAGGATAGTGCAATCAAATGGTTCAATGTCCATACTTGGTTTCATGTATAAGTATTCAGGCTATTACATATACATATACACACACATATATGTATATATATATACACACATATATATGTAAAATCTGTTTGATGCACAAATCAGTTTTTCTTTTTTTTTTTACTTTTTAATATTAGTTACAAAGGTGAGGGGACTGCAGATCCATGTGCGCCACTGTTTGGGATGGAGGGATAGAAATGTTTTTGTCTTCCCTGCTGCTTTGGGAGTTGGAGGAGGGTATTAGGACGTAGAGCAGGGGAGGTGTGACCTCTGGCTTGTGGCTCTATGCTTGCTGTGTGATTGTCCTGATTCTAACCCTCATCTAGTGGATTCTTATCACTGGCCAAAGGCTTTCCCTTCAGTGGCTATGATTATGTTCCCCCATGTCATCTTGAATACTCTAAGGAACTGCTGGAACCTTTATTTAAAAGG